GTACAACTCACAATGTGCTTCAGTATGCATAATTTGTAAAACTGCAGTCATTTCTTTGCACAATCTCCTTAGTTTAAAGCAATATTTTACTTTTTTAGTTCACAGTCCAAAATTAAAGGAAATGATAAGATGTGGATTTTACATAATATAGTCTGATTTCTGTGTTTCCTGACTTATTATTACACTACATGTGCATAACTGACTGATTGAAAATACACTGGCTTCATTGCACTGCAAACCTGACTGGAAGGAGAGACAAGCATTCTTATACCAGAACATCACTGCTTATCTGGTCTGGAACTTGTTAAACAATAACTCCCCTTTTAAAAAATGCAAACTCTTTTCTGATAACATGCAGTGATGCGTGCAGATAATTTGTCTTTACACGTCTAGGTAAAACTTCGGTGGACAACTGTGCCACAAAAGCCCTAATTCTCTTTTCTAACGGGCTGTTTGGTTAACTGTGGTGAGGATAAAACATATGTGAGCCTAACTTACTGAAAAAAGACATTTGTCTCAACAAAAAAGTGCAATTTATTTCTTAACAGCAATAGGTAAAAATAAACACCAAAGTAACTGTGGATGCTGGAAATCAGAAACAAAACCAGAAGTTGCTGGAAAAGCTCAGCAGGTCTGGTAGCATCTGTGGAGAGAAATCAGAGTTAACATTTCGGGTCCAGTGACCCTTCAAAACAAATGTAAAAATACATAGTTTTAATAATTATGTCTAATTAAACTATTAGGAACCAGGAATGACCTGTCTGACCCCATCAGGATCTTAAGTTGCACTCCTGATTCTTCACTCAAAGCTGTTAAACATCTTCAGACTAGCTGGAGCTGAATGCAGCCCCAGAACAATGGCCTTTTGCAACTGGCTTCAGTATCATAGTCAGACCTGATGAATCTTCTCATTGGTATTTCGCCTGGTATCAGTTGTCAAGTATGGATACTTGTACATTTCAACAAGTGTGGTGAATTTTCTGGGTTACAGCTATTCTTTCTAGTTCGAAATGTTTCTGGATTATGTTAATCGTAGAATCGTAGAATCCCTACAATGTAGAAACAGGCCCTTTGGCCCAACAAGTCCACACCGAACCTCACAGCATCCCACCCAGACCCATCCCCCTATAACTCGCCTATGTTTTCAATTTATTTTATGTTACCTTATGGGTTGCTTTTGTTGACTTTGTGCAAATGGTAATGATCGATGAGCACTTTGTGACTGGAAAGCTGCTGTCAGTGAGATTCCATAGGTCTCAGTACTAGGATTCCTTGCTATTTGTGGTATAAATCAATAATGTAGAGTAAATGTAGAGCACATGATTAAGATATTTTCTGATGCCGCAAAGATTAACTACTTGGTTAATAGTGAGGAAGAATGCTGAAAATCAATGAAACATATTAATAGACTGCTTGGGTGGGCAGTAAAATGGCAAATGGAATTCAATCTGGAAAAGTCTGAGGTAATGGAGAAAGAAACAAGACAAGGGAATAAACAACAAATGGCAGGGTGCAGAGACATACAGAGAAATAGAGGAACCTGGTGGTCTACCGGATCCTGAATGTAGCAGAACTGTAGATAAGGTGGTTATGAAGACATACGGGATACTTTCCTTTAATAGTGAAAGCATAGAATGCAGAATAAGAATGTATTCTTTTCCATAGTCATATGTTTACTGAAGTTGAAAATGGGAAGCTCCTAGAAGTATTTGAAGGGGAATGGTGAAGACTATAAGGCTTGAAGACATAACAAAAGATGTTCTTAGGTTGATCATTATTACTAAGAGCAATGAGGTAACTCTAGAACTATATAAAGCAGTAGTCTAGCGGCAGCTAGATACTGATCATATTACTGGAAAGACTATGTGGTAGAGAGTCAATACATTGTTAGAACTAGAGAATTTCAGCCACGAAGCAAGACTGAATAGTCTTGGTGTTGTTTTCTTTGGAACAGAAGGGATATTTAATTGAATAAATTTTAAGTGATCTAGATAGAGTAGGTAGGAAAGACCGATTTCCGTTAGCTGAGAGACAAACAATTGCTAGAAGAATTAGAGGGGAGTGAAGAAAAATATTCTTCACCCAGAAGGTGATGGAACTCCCTGCCATAAAGGGTTGTAAAGACTCAAGCCCTCACTGTTTTTATAAAGCACTCTGGTATGAAGTGCTAGGGCTATAGGACAAAAATTAGATAGTAAGATTAGACTGGATAGCTGTCCAATGACTAGCACAGACATAATAGGCAAAATGGCCTTAGTACTGTGAATTTGTATAACTTTGTCCCTTCCCCCCTCAACAGATCAGATTTCAATCAGGGGTCATTAAAGCGTTTTTTTACAGCCGACTTTTTTTTTTGAAATACTGCAGCACACTCTACTGGTACAGCCAGGTACCTACAGTTTTCTTTGGGGTGGTCTTCCCAGTCCATAGCACAGGCAGGGATTGGGGTTTGGATATAAGTTTCTTCTTTGACTAACAAAACTGTCTCTCAATGCTGTCAATATGGTGAAATGTTTTGTATAAAATTCCTGAGAATTTTATGGGAGCTGGGCAGGTATCGTGGTTGAGGAACTCGGAGGACTGTGGAAACTTATAACTGTTTCTTGAAAGAATCAACACACATGATGGGCCAGTTGGCACCCCTCTATGATTCATGTCATTCTCAATGATTAGTTTGAGGTGTGTAGGTAGCATGGTAATTAGAACATGTTCGTGCAACGGACTTTTTATTAACCGGCACATAGGAGACAAAACGCGTGCCGGTTGTCAAAAATACACAACGTAATGCAGGGGATTACACATTACTATTACCTTTTATTTGCAGCATAAGTCACTTAAATAATAATGCAATTTGCCTTAAATAAAATTTACTGGCAGAGAATCTTCCCATTCTCACCCTCAATTGACCATTCGGGCATCGTGGAGAACGCGATGTCAACATCTGGTATTTCAGGTGTCTATTTGCCGGTTTATCGGGAGGGTTCGTTCCCAAGATGCCAATTAAAGCAAAGTTTGCTGTAGTTTCAATTTCTCTCGTTTTCAGCTATGGTGTTTGCCACATTAGCTTATTCATTTTAGTTCATTTTTGCTTGCCATTCTCTCTCCTCAGCTGGGATTGTTTTAAACTGTGACCAATTTAGGATTCTTTGTTCTGTGATTGAAGTTTATTTGGGGTTCATGTATGATTTTAGTGAGATTTAGGGTTTGAGGCATATGGTTGGTACTGAGAGGATTTATTTGTTTAAGATCAAGATAAGAATAATAGTTGGGTAGAAATTCAGGTTGAGGATTTTAGATTAATTCTGGGATAAGGTCAGAGTCTGGGTAGTCTGATTTGGAAAAACCTCTGAGACAGTAGCCAAGGTTAGGGTTGGCATTTTAAAATTTACTTAGGCGTTATGGACATTGCTAGCTGGGCCAGCATTCATTACCCATCCCTTGTTGCACTTGAGAAAATGGCGGTGAGCTGTCTTCTTCACAGTGCAGACTGTGGTGTAGTTGCCACAATGCTGTTGGTGAGAGGAATTCCTGGATGTTGACCCACCCACACTGAAGGGACAGCCAGATCAGGATGATAGATGCCAGTGCTGTAACTGGAACAGTTTGGCTTGGGGTGCAGCAAGGTCTGGAGTACAAGTCTTCAGTACTATTGCTGGAATGTTTTCAGGGCTCATCGACTTTGCAGTATCCAGTGCCTCCAACCATTTGTGTAAGCAGTTGTGGTCTGGTTTAATGTTACAGGGCCAGGGCGATCAAGACTAGAAACTTGGGTAGGCTGAAGAGTAGTGGGCTCTGTGATTTGAGTTCATTTTAGGGTCAGTATTGATGTTCCAGTCCAGATTAGTTGGACTCAGGTATTAAAGGTACAATTAGAACTAGGTTTGACAACTATCAAGGAGGGATTGGGCTAAAGGGTGGCAGGTGTGATTTACTGGGAGGAAGATAATCTATTTATGATGACAAACAAGGAATAGGTATATAAACTCAGATGACCTGTTAGTGGAACAGTGACCCTAAGTATGTTGATATGTCAGTCTTTTTAGGTGCAAGTGAAGGGAAATAAAACAACAAACAAATAAACAGACTGTAGAAATTTGATAATTGGAGATAGTGTTGATATTATTTCAGGAACCGAGTGTACAAGAGCAAATGAGTTAAGATAAATTTGTACATAAGTTCATTTAGCTCTTTGATCCTTTCCCTTGTTTAACATGCTCACAGTGAATTTTCTACTTTAAATCCACATGTCAGGAGTTGTTCCTGACTGGGATGTTTTGCCACTGATGTTTTGTGGCAGAGATCATTATTATTGTCCTATAAAAGATCAAAAATTTGAACCAGCAAGCAACACAGGGGTAATGAGAGACCAAGATAGTGAGATTAGTTTCAGAGTGATGCAGTAGGTGCTGACACACACACACACACACACACACACACACACACACACACAGTGTCCTCTGCAGGTGCTTAAACTTTTGCAATTCTATAAAACTATTGATTCCTGCATGACACAGGTTCTGCAGACTCCAAACATTGACCACAGGGAAAAACATCATTCACCTTGTCTGATTTAGAACAGACCACAAAAATCATGTATCCTTGCCAGAATTCCACATATTTTCCCCACCAATGGTTCCTGGCCAACAATCAAGACTACATTACCAGCATTTACTTTCTTCCCTCACTATCAGAGTCATTCGAGTCAATCTTGGTTTTAAAAGATAGGATTTAACTGGAGCACAACACACTTAGACTCACTGATATTTATGGCTTGCATTTGCCATCTGAAACAGTGGGGAACTTGCTCCACTTTTCATTAAATGACATTAATTCTTTCATTTAGAAAGAGGATGGTGATAGGAGAATCTCTGCCAGACTGCACCTGCAGCACTTTCACAACAGGAGCAAAGGTTAACAGTTAACAATCTTTCACACCCTTTCATAACAGCCACAGCAATGATGCACAAGTTGAATAAAAATGAGTGGATTAGGTGTGAAAATTAATGTCAGAGACAATTTTCCTTTATTTTGTATTTACATAAAGCAATAACAAAGTAGTAGTTTTAAAATAACAAAGGAACTGCTCTGATCACAGATTCTTGCTTGCACTGTTATTGTGTGCTTTGTGGCACTGTGGTAGGATCAGGGAGTTGAAGAACCTGTAGCTTTGCATGTTTTTCAGGGAGTGACATTTTGTAAATAATTAAATAAAACTTCATTTAAAAAGGTACTTTGCAATATTACTCCCCCTCCTGTCTTGGAGGCACAGACTTGCCGGAGTGTGGCTCTACAGACACCAAACCCAGTCAAGTTGCTCCTGGTGTGAACCTCGACACATGAATGTGAGCACTCAACAAGCTGTCAGCTAGACAGGCCTTCACAGCCATGTCCCATCCTGTTCTCATTTGAGAACTACACATGTAAACTTTCTAGCAGGAGTCAATTAATAACATTCAGAAGAGGGAACTCTGCCTGATTTGAGTTAGCTTGGGGTGCTAAGAGCAATTGCAATATGACTATTGCTTCCCAGCTGAAATAAAAAAAATTGGAATAGTTAATTAGTCCAGCAAGCACTGCTGCTGCCTACTTCATCAGAACAGAGTTCTCTCTTGGTTTTAAAAGGAGACTGTATTTAAAGCAATGTAATATCCACAGTAGCATTTAATAAATCAGAAAACACAATTACAGTTTAGTTTGGTTCAAAACATTATAAGTTAAGGATTTGATAGATTTTGTCCATTTCATTTTAACCTTGTTACATTCACCATGAGATATATGCAAACAGAAACCATATTTAAAATAGAATAGGCTGATTTGAGACATTAAAGTGCCCTGATCAGTGTCAAATTGTTATTGTAGTGTGACAATCAATGCCCAGATAGCTAAATTGGAATATTTTGAATTGTGATAGCCACTAAAGTATATACATTAGGCTCTTACACTATCTCACTAGCAGTAGAGTGGTCCCTGGAAAACTATAGTGCAAAAATGTCACAAGTACATTCCAGGTTGTTAAAAGGCATTTCAGGCACTGAGACATTGTTGGGACTGTCAAAACATATCCAATTGAAATAGGATTTCTTGTTTTAAATCACCCAAACAGAATAAAGACTTTTAATGGATGGATTTTGGTTAATGGATGGATTTTGGAAATCCATGCAAACTGGAGGTATTAATAAACCATCCTAAAATACATGGTGACATGGATCAAACCAAGTCACAATGAGACTTCCATTTGTTCCAGTTTCTCAGAGACAGATATTCCTGTTTTGTTCCCCTCAAAAAAAACTAAAATCTACAGCTGCCTGGGTGTGTGGAGTTGACACCAGTACAACTGACTTTGTAGTGACAACTCCATCTGTTTAGATGTATGTTCTAAGCTTGAAGTGACAATTGAAAATCCAAATTAAAAGACTAGTTTCATTATTCTACCTTTCAATGTACTCATTTGGTATGCAACTACATTGAGACATGGCATCCTGCATGTCAGAACCCACACAGATCCTAAATGTGGTGACTGGTATATTTATCCTTCTTGCAAAAATGATTTGTTTAGAATGCGTGTTTTACAAGTCAGAAAGGGCAGGGCTCCACATCAGCCGGCATCTAGCAAAAACTTCACATTTGGGATGATCAAGAACAATTTTGAAATGTCTGTCATCCCTGTAAGACTGAGACTTTTTTTTGCTGGGAAAAATTCTGAGAAAAAAAAACGGTGCTGCTTAAATTCATGCAAAAGTAACAGTGGAAGTGCTAACAGGTTTCACAAAAAGTAATCAATTAATATCTTCATTTACTATGTCAAAAATGTGATTGTGCAATGAATTCTTGTACATTTAAGCACATTCTATTGAGACATCAAATACAATATAATTCCATAGGCTGAAAAATAAGGTGCATGTTTTGTGTTGATGAATTATGTGAGGGTTGTATGTTTAAACATAGTATACAGTCACCGTTGGCTGCCCATCTTTGTCAAAAATGTATTCCCTTTGTTCATCAACATAACCGTCCACGCTCTCGTCATTTAAGAGTTTGACATCTGAAGTAGCAATCTCCAACTGGCTGCCATTCATCGGACTGGGTGAATCACATTCATCATAACTAATGTCGGGTACATCATCTGACTGAGTGTCTGTGCTATCTTCATCACTTTTTATGCTCTCTGGTTGAGCAAGAGTTACATCGCAGGTTTTACTTGTGACACAGTCTCTGTGGTCACTATTGTAAGAGTTGGCCTTCTCTTCACAGCAGAGTCCCTCCACTGACTGAGTGTGGATATGAAGTGATTCATCAATGCTGCTACCACTAGTTAAACAAAGGTGGCTGGGTTTGGTTTCAATGTCAACTTGCACTTCTAGATTATTGCACTCCCTGTAATGAAAACAGAAATGAATTAGCTTAGCGTGACATCCTCAATTATAGATTTAGATTTTGCCTTAGTTACCATTTATAGGCAGTCTGAACATCCTATGGTTATGTATTCAAAATTCTGAATATTGTGATTTAAGACACGAGATGAATCATTAAGCTGTTTTTTAATTCAAAGCTGAAGTTTTGTTCAATCTGCACAATCACGCAAACTAATGAAAATGATATGTTTCCCCATCACAAGTGATCATTTTGCTTGACTTGAACAAGATAATTCCCAAATGCTTTCCAAGATCTTTTTCCCAATCTGATCACTACCTTTGCAGCTCAGTTTTAAAATTGGACCAAACTAACCAGCCACACCTCTACTTTCATCAGGGTTCATCACCAGAAGCGAAGGCCAACCAGACCAGTCTTGGTGAACGGGTGAAACAGAGACTTCTCAACCATAGGTATAAGGTTTTTATCCAAAGTTGGGTTCAACTGTTCATCTTTTGCAACATTTAAAAGGAAATGTGCACATTGCCTCTAACATTTAATAGCTTTTTTCCCGAAAATGATACAATATTTCAGCATTATGTTGTGCAATTTATTTTTTTTTTTTTTAAAAAAGATCCTAAACGTGCAAGTCAGAGTCAAATTTGGGAACAGAACTTCGAATTTCATGGAGAGTGCTGAAGTGTTCCAGTTTTAACTTCCTAATGTAACTCTGCTCCCCACATAGTGAACAATTTCAATATTAAATGGAATTATGTATCCGGTGGATTTTGACAGAAGACGATGGTGCTAGGTGATGATTCTAATTCTTTCAGCCTGGTATACTACATTCATTGATGATGAAGGAAGTTGCTTATATTAGGGACAGTTTGCATGATTTGTTTGTACACCCCGTCATTCAGTCTGCAATCATGATCCCAAGCGTCAAGGTGCTTGTTGTTTTTAATTCTCCCCCATTTGACTTTGCCTCCTGTAGTGTTCTAATTAAGCTGAACAAAACCTCAAGGAATAGTACCCAATTTTTTGATTGTCAGTTTTGGAAGGCTGTAAAATGTCTAATGAGTTCAACAATTTCAGGTCATAACTACAACTCCCATTTCTTTGCGCAGCAGCTGACACTATTAATACTGCCAATGCCATTTACAGTTCCACCAAGCCATCTTTTGTTTCTCGCTCATCCCATTACCATGCTCTTTTGTCTTGCTCCATCATCCATTTTGATATTTAATCAATCACTTTACCTTTGACTATGTTTCAGACTTTTCTTGTTCCTTCCAGCCCCTGTTCTTGCTTAAAACCTGTTACAAATCTAACTTTTCCAGTTCTAATGAGAGACCGGTTTTGCTCTACCCATGGGCTGCCTAACCTGCTGAGTATTCCAGCATTTGTTTCTTGATGTTGCTATTTTCTGAATGAAATGATTGATAATTCATCAAATCAAGAAAACGGTATTAAATATATACAAGAGTGGAATAGAAATAGCATACGATCTTCCAAGATCTGAGGGCGAAAGAATGCAAATTTAAGAAATGTAATGGATTTTCTTTTGGCATAAACTCCCTCTTCATTTTTAATCATTCTTGAGCCTCAACAAGCTCAAATCAGCAGTAATTGGGAAGATCAGAAAGCAACATGCTCCCAGGCTCTGACAATCCTCATGACAAACTGAAAAGAAAGAAGGAACAGTATTGCCTTCATGAAAGTAAAATTAGATTTAGAATACTTTGAGAATATGTGGATTCTAAAGAATGTAGCTATTTCCAAATTTCAATAGTTATTGGCTAGAGGTTTCCTTGGTAAAAGTTGCAGTTTGCTGGTTATCCATTCTGTAGCAGTGTGGCATGTTTCTTATCTCACCTGTCATGTGGGTTGTACGAGCTGATGATTGAACCTGCCATGGCCCTAGTGCTGGCATTATCACTGGTTGCTCCAAGGCTGATGGAATCTTTATTCAAACTGTAGCCTTTTTTAATGTCAGTCTGAATCTCCAACCTGTTAATTGTATTGAAAAACATCATACTTGGGTTTGTAATCAAAATCAAGTTCTCTCTTCAATATGGCACCCCAAACCTGAAACAACAACTCACATTTCTTCCCAGATTTAGCAAAGGATATTCAGTTTTACAGGAGAATGTATTACTGTATCATCATGAATGATAGCAGTGACTCTTCACTGCCCAAGTCTCCTGTTCACAATCAGCCCCTATCTTTGATTTGACACTGCAATCAGCTCTGGTTTGTCCCATGTTCTGTACATCTTACTACGTACTTATTGGAAAGAAAGAGTAGGTCCACTGAAAGGATCTGAGATAACGAGGTGTAGAGCTGGATGAACACAGCAGGCCAAGCAGCATCAGAGGAGCAGGAAAGCTGGCGTTTCGGGCCTAGACCCTTCTTCAGAA